TGTTATAATTGCGTTATATGAAATGTTATATACTATAAATACTCAGTGGGTTACTGGCTTTAATCCAAGCCATTGACTATTAAAATCGTCTGAGTTGAATATGGGTTGTGGACCCCCAAACAACAAAAATCTGATTTTTTTTTACAATTTATCTTTAGTTAATGATTGTGTCTCAAGTTATTTTTACGTGATACTAGCTGAACCCGGCAGACGTTGTCTTGCCTTTGACTATTTATAATCCGTTTAACTTCTTAATTTTCAAGATGATCTCGTTCGCATGGCTCAATCACGTCCTGGTTAAAGTTCGTTCGCTACGCTCACTCACCTTTAGGTTGGAGCTCGTTCGCTACACTCACTCACCTTTAGGTTGGAGCTCGATCGCTGCGCTCACTCACCTTTTGGTTGCAAATTAGCTGTTGTCATAAATGTAAAAGAAATAATAGTGCTGCACCCTGTTGGTAATCCTTGTAACTTTAATGCTATTGAACATCATAGAACAGAACCATTAATTGAAACAGCTGTTAAGATTCATTAATTCCATTTCTCATGAGGTTTTTTTTTTTTTTTTAACAAGTATTTATTCACAATCTATTCTATACTAGAATAATAAGTAAATTTGATAACCATTTTAACATATGGGAAACTCCAGAGCCACTGGGGCGGAGCCGATTGGACGGATCACGAAATTAATGGTGTATAAACCTATTCCATGACATTTTACACGTATGTACCAAGTTTCGTGGCAATCGGTTCAGCGGTGTCTTGAGTTTATCACTGCCAAACAAACAAACAAACAAATATATATACAAACATCCTCTTTTATACTTATAGATTGTATGTTATGGTATGCAAATACTCAGTGAGTTCATGCGGTTCTTTTAAGCTATTATGTATTGAAATCTGACGTGTTTGGGGCGAGTTATAAGCTTAAACGTAGAATAAAAGTTGTTTTTTCTTAACTTTCTTCTGTATTTAAAGACATATTTCTCAGCTGCTATGTATACTATGTTACTTGTTCTGGTCTAAAAACACTAGGTCAACTTAAAACTTTCATTTAAGACAATTTTCATTTAAATGAGATGTGTTATTCATTTTGGTGAAGAAAACCTCAGTAAGCTATGGGCAAACTCAGATATGAACCTAACCTGGTTTATTCCAGTCGAGTTTTTTTTTTAATTTTTTATTATTGCGTATGATATACACCAGTGAACAGAATTGAAAAAGATGTATTGCCCAGGCTTACCTTGCACAGTATTTGGTCATTGTGGATATAATACCTGTTAAAATGGAAATATACAAACTCAAGACGTCAGTGACGACTACGACAATGTAGAACAATGAGTTAATACCCCAGCTGCAGCAAACCTGCCGAATAAGCGATATTTCCATTTGCATTGATTGGTTTTCAATTAATATATTAAATTAACGTTTATGTTTAACGAGTACCTAGGTTTGCTGCTACTGGGAAACTAATAAAGTTTTTTTATTAAAATATTAATATTTTAGTATAAAATAAATAGGGAAATCTACCAAGTTTGATCTGAATATATCCAAAAACAAGCCAACTACAACATTTTACAATATTCCTCCATAAGAATAACACGGAATTTTAAATGAACTATTTTATATATATAAATTTGAGTGAAATAGTGTTTTTGGCCTATGGGGACATCAAAATGATGTAAATCGGTCCCGGGCCTAGGTCTTACCATAAGACCTACGGTAATAGCTGCTTCCCTATAAGGAAATTCGCTAATAGTCACTAAGGTTGCTGAAACCTTATTAACAAGTTATTTTTACATGTAGGGGTATTATGAAAGTTACAATTTTTCATGAATTAAAATTTATATTACAATACAAAATAATAAAACTCAAATATATTGAAATCGATTTTATTAATTTTTTTAACATAGGTATTGTCTTTTATCATTGTAACGCAAATACTAACAAGCATAGCCACAAGTGCTATGGGAATTCAGTTAACTCAAAATCGAGTATTATTATTACATGCCTGCCATAATAATGATGTAAAGAATGTGCCTTGCTAGTAACTTAAAGAAGCTCAGGTTTAAATTGACAAAACTTATATTTTGTTTGGTAAAACAAGGTCGTATAACAAGTTTTTTTTTTTTTAATTGGGCAAAAAATGCAATTCTTAAAGATAAACACCACGTTTTCCGCCGCCAGTTTGAAACAGCTTTGATATGGCTAATATCTGGTAAATTTATGAGTAACATTATAACGAGGTTTTATACTAAATTTCAAAATATTCAAACTAAAAACACATTGTTTATAGCTTAATTACCATGTTTTAAGTTAGTCGAATTATTTATTAATATGGACAATTGATAATCTAAAAATCTAGAAGTTTCCCAAAGGTACTTTGTAAATACCTGCTATTTTCTACATCTAAATACTACCAAAATAAAATATCAACAATAAAAAAACGTAATAGAACAAAACAAGGCTCAAGGAAAATTCGCTGTTTGGCTGCCGGACTATTCCCAATTTACAAATCAACAAATTACAAAAAACATATTTTTTATTGATTGATGATCTATAGCCTACCCCAAACTTTTTGAAACCCAATAATCAATATGTTCCATGAAAGCCAGTATGTTACAGACGGTTTTCATATGAAAACATAAAACATAACATAATAATTACTAAAGATATAGGGCTTTGATGAGACTTTTTTTATAATTAAAATTACTCTTTTTGGGGGGTCAATAACTAGCTAATTAAAAATCCTAAAATTTGAATTATAACTAGCGTAAATGAAATTCGTTGGTTTATCGAGCTTTTTGATACCAAAATAGTACAAAAGAACTACAGAATATTCTTAGGAAGAATTATATGTATTATTTTCATTTATTAGATACCCCTCTTTGTCATATAAAAAATAAATAAAAGTTATTTTTTACGCTTTGTTGTGACGTTGTCCTTGATCCAACAAAGATCCCTATAGGTGCATTGGATGCACAATTTCAAGATCTACAACTTTTGTATTATTTATCATGACCTTTTTCAGAGTTTTTAGCACAAAGTTGAAAAAAGTAGGGAAAGAACATATTTTTTATCTAAATTATTAACTTTAAAAAGAAATACTGGCTTTAAAACACACAATATATAGTTAAAGTATGATATTTCCTGCATGGAATTTCATTGTGAGTATTTTAAAAGTGTTTGCAATGCTGTAGGTAGCATGGTATTTTCATAACGTAGTTTTAAGTATAAGCTTACACTGTAAATTACGTTTTCCACCATTTTCCAAGATGGCGGCTATTGCCCAAAGGTACCAAAAAAGTACCCGGTGGTTTTATGGTCTACATACCCTAAATAACTCAAAACAACAATAAAAAAACTTAATAGAAGAAAACCAGGTTAGGGACAAAATCCTCATTTGGCTGCCGGACTACACCGATCGAACCCGGAACCAAACCAAATACTAATCAGTAAATCAGTAATCAGTCACCAATCGAATCACTCCTGTGAGAAGTGAAGTGAAGAGGAGAAGAAGTATTTTTTTTCTCTAGTTTGCTTAAGCAGGCTTCGGTTTAATAGACCAGGCAGCCGCGATGTACACTGAGTTGTGGTTGCTTCCAATTAAGGTTATTAATTTGTTAGTACAAAATTTTGTTATTGATCATAAATTTGCACAATCAATGTTTCATGTTGATATTGTTCTAGTTTTTGTTAATATACCTAATTATGTATTAAAAATAGGATTATCTAAAGGTTCAAGGGATTCTTTAGGATGGTAGAGATAGGTTATCTTCTTTGCCAGGGGCCCATCAGGCATACAACTACCCAGAATAGGGGAGGAGGGCCATGGATTAAGAAACCATGGATAAAGATTGGACTATTATAGTGCAATTTCAATTGCTTTGCAGACGACACAACAGTTGATAGACTCGCGTTTCCATTGAGTATAGCAATACAATAAATTCTTCAATTCTTCCTATTATATTATTCTTTAATATAAGCTAATAAAACAGCTCTAAGCTCTGCAGTTCGGTCCCCCCGTGATTCACTACAATAAGTGATTTGAAAAAATCCAAATAGCGATCTAAATGTGATCAATCCAAATCATATTTTTAACCCTTTGCTGTCTGTTATGAAGACTCCCTAATGTCCTGTCATGTATCTTAGGCCACTCATAGTACCTAATATTTTGTCAAGTAACAAAGTGATTGTAATTTAAATATCTAGTGCACTGTGGGATTAGACATTTTCTTTGTAGTTTTGTTAGTTTTATTAGTTGGAATGTTTATGCTCCAAGGACTCTTAAGGAATACGCCAGAGGTATATACAGGGTGATCAACTCAAGGAGGCCACTAATGGGATATCGGAAACGGTAAGAATTAGAGACAACTTTAAATGGGGGACATTCCTTTATTTTTTGTGGCAATTAAAAATATGAATTTAGTTTTTTGAAATTCATCCGCCATTTTCCAATATGGTGGCCAACTTTGAAATTTCTTACGGAACACCCTATATTTCTTCATCATGTTTCCGGATAGAACATGCAATTTAAAAATTTTTTTATTCCTGGCATTTTTTTCATAAACCCACTTGTTTAGGAGTTGCAGCCTATGAAAAAATGACTTCCGGTATACATGTTGCATCATGTAGCTTCTAAACTAGTAGGTTTATAGTGAAAATGCAAATGTAAATAAGTCTGAAAATTGCATCTACATTCCAAAAAGACAATGAAATACGTAAAAATATTGATTATATTATTTACAAAATGGCGGCCATTTTCCAAAATGGCAGCAAACTTGAAAAGTGAACAACTGTGTAGTTTAAGGCATTTTATGGTCTTTTGGAACAACACATGTTTCGTGTGACACCCCTCATCAAAAGTCGAAACCAACAAAAGTAAACAGAAATATAAATCAGTAAAGAATAATCTTGAATACCCCAAACAATAATGTAAATTCATAAAACACAATGTAATCAACTTGTATTTTATTATATTTTTACAAGTTTACCTAAAATATTGTTTAGTAGTCATAACCTGGATTTTTATCAAAGTATTTTCTGTATAGATATGTCAAATTCTCTGAAAATAAAAACAATAGGATTGTGTGAGGGGCGCATCTAGCGTACAACGGCATGAACGGCATGGGCCCTTCCATAGGGCTGGCACTCCCTCTTTGTGTACGGTCTTGCTCAACGCATCCAAAACACCAGAATACAAGGGAGTAGTTGTCTTAGACTCCATAAACTGTATCCTAAAACAAATTAACACCTATATCGAGAAAATCTCCTCTAATAAAAAGTGAAAATATAACACAAAGATATTTCCTTTATGTGCCAACTAACATTCAAAATTCAAAAGATATGTATACCACATAATTGTTTTAATAAATGAAAAAACTAAATTAAATGTTCTACCAACCTTGTTTTTAGTACATCGATCGGACAAGTTGCAAATGCGAACATGAATCCAGAGACAATGCTGCTAACTATGTGACATTTCGTGTTATTTTCCATGTGTCCTAAATCAAACACAATATGTGGTTCATCATATTAAATGTACAAAAATAGATCTCAGAATTATTTATTGTCTCAGAAGGGCAGTGGATCTTGTGTAAGGGAAACAATGAGATCATGGTGGCTTAGCCTTATAATAGTTATACTTAAATCTTCATTCTCCAGTAGTACAGGGGAGTAGAACATAAATTGACAGTTTCAGTACGATAAAGCACACATACGAGTACGTAAAAAAATCTATATCAGGCATAGATAATATGATAAGAATGAAGGTATGGATTCTATATTCATCGTACTCATCGTTAAGTCCATGTCATTGTAGTTCTATGTTGTCTGAAAAGAAGACGGAAATAGCATTGAAAGGATTTTCACTCAGAAGTGACCAACTCGAAATCACACATCAAAATTAATTTTTTTACACTTAACTAATCTTGAAGTAAATAGCTTTATTTCAATAAAATAGTAGCTTTGAATATCCAATGGTCAATGATAGTAGTAAAAGTGATGGCCCAAATTAGTGCACTATTATCCTAGATCATCCAACAATATTGTTTATGAATCCAAATAGATTAAATGGGCGTATGAATTGCTGTTTTGGCAAGGTACCTTTATTTATCAGGAACTCTTTTGCCTGAGTGTAGCTAACTAGCTGCGCAACATTAGCTATCATCGCTCTTAGTACCGTTGGTCTCAAACCCGTGTAAAGACCTTTAGCTCCCTCCTCGTTGGAAATGCGTCGAAGAGCGTCAAAGACGTGTTTATAACCCCTTCTCTCCGAAGGTGGCAATCTCCCGTCCCCAGTCATTCTTACAAGAGCTACCTGTAAAATAACAAAGGTCAAGAAATGCAACAGTTATTTACTTATGGCTTAGTTACAAATTCATTTATTTATATTCACTTTAGAACTAGAGAATCTTACATGTGTGACCTCCTTACTTCGGCTGGAGTCGCCAGAAAGCCTGCAAAAAGTCCTCCGGCCATCGCAGCTGGTACTTGGTAAGGAAGACTATCATGTCCGGACCTGTTGGGATTTTAATTATTTAAATAAGCAAATAATTCAACCTAAATGAGAAAGTTTAGCTATTTAGTATTGCATTTGTATATTGCATGTGCATAGTCTTTAGTCCTATAGCTGATTTGTATGTAACAAATTCGTGTTTCGTCAGTTTTGATTTTCTAAATAGCCTTAAAAAGGTCAAATATACAGTCAATGACAAAAGACCGGTCTTAGACTATCATCTGTGGTACTATATTAACTGTCGAGACCAGTTTGAAATGCCTATAGCTATTAAATTCAAATTCAAATTCTTTATTGAGCATGTAGACATAGTTGTTGAAAATAACCATTGCTGAATATTTTAAATGATGCTAAAAAAAATGTGGTGGAGTGTGGTGGGATATTCATAATGCATCTGGGCTTACTTACTTCTTGTTCCATAAGTGTGAGATGGAAGAAATTGATGAAAAAGATTGTAATTTTTATGCAAAAATGATGAAGTTTCAAAAATATAAATTGATGGGAAGGTTAAAAGTTTGTTGGACGGGAAAAGGTTGGTACATGAGGTTCTGGATGAAACCTGAAAAATTAATCTTATAGCTTTCTTCTGAAGCCCAAACACTGACTTGGATCTGGTGCTCTCAGAGCCCCAAATTGAAACCCCATAGGATATAAATGGATAGATAATACCATAATAAGCAGTCATGAGTATATCAGTCGATGCAACGCGAACCAGTTTACGGAGCACAGAAATACCCTGACTTAGTTTATTACATACGTGATCTAAATGATCATGAAACGTCAAATTGCGATCAATGATTAGACCAAGGAACTTAACGGAGCGTTCTGAAAACACAGGTACATCACCCAAATAAATACTGAGCAAACTGTTATTTGAATTACAGTTGATAGAAAATTCAATGAGGGTAGTTTTCAATATATTTACTTGTAGTCTATTTTGCTCAAGCCAATTAACAAGTGCATTCCCCTCTAGGAACGTATTGAGTTCTATGCGGTTTCTTGATGGGCTAGAAAACGTTGACGTGTCATCGGCATAGAGGCATAAGTTTGGAACAGACAAGCACTGCCAAAGATCGTTGATAAATAACAAAAAAAGGACAGGGCCCAAAATTTAGCCTTGTGACACGCCCTTATTGACAGTTCCTTTTAAGAACTCCTTATAAGAATTTACATTGACGAATTGCACCCTTTCGACTAGGTATGACTGAAACGACTGAAGTGTGAAAATAACCTCTAATCCCCAAATTGAACATTTTATTTAGCAGAAGACTATGGTCTACCAAATCAAATGCTTTAGTTAGATCAAAGAACAAGCCACTGGAGCGGTTGCCAGAGTCGACAATATCAACAATGTTTCGTACGACACAAAACATAGCATCAACAGTACTCTTCCCTCGGGTAGAGGAATGCTCTCTGCATATGACCTATTTTCCACTTCAATTTTACCCTACGATTTAGGAAACTAGGTACACTTTTAACAGTGTCACTAAAATCTATAAACACTGTCTTAACGTCCAAACCAAATAACTTGGCCTCTTGAGGCTTCATGACTTTAAAGTCGGTCTGTAAAAAAAATCAAGTGAAAAAACTTGACCTCCATGCTAAAGAAGACTAAGAAAACTAAATGAACATGATGTTACTCAAGCGACACTTACTTTCTAAGCTTATCTAGTATTGCCTGGAAGGACCCCATGCGAATTGTAGTATAGATAGCTTGGTGAAGGATGTTGGCAGAAATTCCGGCATACAGCCGAGAAGTTCCTTCGTTTTTTATCACGGATGTAAACGCGTGAAGCCATGTTCTGTGGTCTTTCGCGAGCCCTCCTTCTCCGCTCAGCTGCATTCGAAATCTTACAAGGTCTAGAGGATGCACGAACAGTGTAGCTCCCATCCTTACAAAGAAAGTATAATTCAAGCATCTATCAAATTTTGAGGTTTAATGCAATTAGTCATATTATTAACAAATTCAATTACACATTTGTACAATTAATTTTAAATATGTTTTGTTATCTTAGTGTTCATCTGTTGTTTATATACTTTTGCATCATTCAAGTATTTTTTAACTGCACAGATATAACTAGTTTCACACTAGTATGGTATATTGCTTGAATAATCTTTGGTTAGTCATTTGTTTGAACGAATTACCAGTGAATAATGCAATGATGCAAATTATGAGCCAGACATCACTGAACACTTTTATACAGTTTAACTATAATTTAATGTGGGGTATCCCTTTCCTTAAATATCATATTCATATCCACAGTGTCATTATTGGTTTTATATTGAAGGGAATTAGTAATTTACTCAAAGCTAACTCACCCACTAATACCTGCTATGGGAAATCTCACATATCCCGGCACCACCTTCTTTTCTCTTACTTGGCATATTTAATTACTCTCAATACATTCCATTTTAGGGTCATTACAAAACTTAAAAAATAAAAGTATTCAATTTAAACTTATAAAGAAAACCGAACAAATAAAATTATTATTAGTTGTTTGTTTTTGTAAAAATCAAAATTAAAATCAAAACAAACACGACGAACAGTTGTTAAATTATGTACACTACTGTAGATAAAAGAACAAGAAAATCCAACCTTTATGGATTTAAATTAATTGACTATAGATAATCTGAAGACATTCGTAAGGTATGCTTCTCTCTGGTTTATTCAGGTGTTTTGTTGTAGACTTTTACTTACCGGTACTTATTTTTGGGAATGTTGCTGGAAGTCAACAGTGCCGGAAGGTCAAATAATTTATAACTGTGCCGCTAGGTCAAAAACTACAACGTTTGCAGTGTCTGTGGATCAAAAGTCCCAGTAAGTAAAAAAAAACCAACTTTAAAACCATTAAAACTAAAAACAACAATGTTAAATTTCTGTAGAAAATTCGCGATCCGTAGTTTTTGAACTCATACCGACTTAACAGTAATGCACAAACGGATCTCTTTAGTTTATGTGTTTTAGTGTCTTCATTAAAATTGTGCAACATGTAATCATTGACATTTTGTTGGATTAAAAGCATACAAACCGAATTAAAAGCTCTCTTAGATTACTGGTATTTTAAATACTGCAATATATTCTGTTTTCCCAATTACCAAAATAAATACAAAATATGCCGTCCTTGTTGGTTTCTATTTGTCTATTTGTCTATTTTTAATTCATTTGCTTGCACTCATAAACAATTTGGACATAATGTGCACATTACATAAGTTTTTGTAAGCAGGAGTATTAGGAGTACAGTACACTGATACAGATAGCTTTAATTATTGTCAACAATGTGGTGAGAGTATAAAGAGGTAAGCTGTTCGGAGAATATCAAGAGCAGGACAGTGTGGGGTGCGCAGCGTGTGTAGAGAGGACCGAACCCCTTCCACAGGGCGGTCACACCCTCTTTCTGGACTGTTTTGGCCAATGCGTCTCCTATGTTGTTATACATCACATCTCCCGTCGTTGTCTGCATATACTGCATCCTGAGAACATGGAAAAGCACTAAAAGCAGACAGAAATTTATCATTATGTTATAAACAAACCTTATTTTGCTACAGATTTACATCATTCAAAGGACATGATTGTAGTTTTATGGTAGTTGGATGACCACAGTGTTTGTCAGAACCTACGTGACGGTCAAAGCCTATCCACGAACTCAACTTAACTTGTAGAATGTTGGGTGAAATATTGCGGGGCCGAAGGTGCTATAGATACTTCCAGATTAAAGTCATGCGATGGAACATGGAAATACTTGTAGTTGTAATATTTAGTCCATTGTGTTGGCCTCCCCCGTTAAAATGAAGCAAAGTGAGTTTTAAAAATACTTGTTTCGTTCTACTTATTGTCTGCAAATATAATTTTAATGGAATATAAAATACACAGGTCCCCCCAGAACCCTTGTTGACGAACAAGAGATGCTTTGCTGCATTGACAGCTTTCTGTACCTAGTACAGTAATTATTATGGTGATTTGGTATCAAAGACAGATGCTTAGTTGCTGCATGCTCACCTGGTCTTTGCGACGTCCAAAGGGCATGTTGTGGTCGCATATACAAGGCCCGAAAAAAGGCTGCTCACAAAATGGCACTTGATATTGTCTCCGAAGTATCCTGAGAACGAATTCAGTCAGTATGCTACATAAGTGTTCAAATGTTTTAATTAATAAACAAATTTAAAAAGTAAGAATCTTTACTTGTCTATCTTAGGAAATTGTTTTTGGACTAATGTATGAGAAATACTACTGTATTTGTATTGGGGTTTTGTTACTAGGCCTATGTGGTTTTATCAATAAACACAATCTCCCAATTCAACACCCCACAAAACCATGAAACGAAATAGAGTTATATCACAATTCTTATATCGTTCTATCTAGGCATAACTGCTTCACTGTTTTTGGAGCCTTTCCAAAAAGATGACTGAAAATTAACACAGTGTCCACGAATCTTTAAATATTTTGCCAATTAAATATGAGCGAAACGTAAGGCTACAGCATACTTTTCTAAGTATAGAATAGTCTGTGTTCTAACAAGTAAACACACTTAACATACCACACCACTTCATAAACCACGAGAGTCAAGTCTTACCATTACTTAGGAGAATCTGTTTTGCCTGGCTGTAACTAACTAGTTGTGCCGTGTTTGCCACCATTGCCCGAAGAATTGTAGGTTGAAGTCCAGCAAACACACCCTTCCTACCCTCCTCTAGGGCAATTCGTCTCAAAGCATCGAATATATTCTTGTAATTCCGCCGCTCATATGCGGGTAGGCGCCCATCGGCTGTCATTCGCACTAGAGCCACCTTAAACACAACCTCTGAGTTACTGTTTAATCTATGAAATCCAAGCGTTTTAAAGCTATGCCTTCTCTTTTAGCTTAAAATCGAATCTTGTGCTTCGAGAGATGGATTGCTGCAACGCATCCGAAAAATTCACTACTGTCTTCGCCAGTTTGAAGTTTCAATTATAGCTGAGTATACATATAAAGTAGATGCTTGAATCTAGGCCTATAAAAATTTTACAAAAAGACTAGTAGTGTATATTGATGAAAACAAATCTTACTTGCTGAAAAGGCTTACATCTGATGGTGTGGCTACAAAGGCAGCTGCAAAGCCACCGACGAGCCCAGCTACTATCTGAGTAGGCAGATTTTCTTGGTAACCATACCTAAAGCATACATTTCAAGGTGATTTATTTGCAGAGTGGTTAAATTAATTTATAACTTTTTGGAAGTAATAAATGATAATGAAGGTGAGTATTTCTTTTATTTGTTCCTATCTGCATGCAACCAATTATTAACACGATTTGTCAATCATGGTATCCATCATTATAATTGGGCTCAAAGACATTAACGTTAAATCCTTCCTTAAACCCAATCACTTTCCGGCGCCACAAGACAACTACTACCAAACCAAACTCATGCTAGGAACCGACCATGAAGACCATAGAAACCCCATAGAGACGCTCCTAAATAAACTTCAGTCAGAACCCGTAAAAAATATAATATTAAAATGTATCCATCGAATGCAAAAAATACCGTTCGTTAACGGTTTAAGCAAATTAAATTAATACAAATTAATTTTATTCAATAATAATAAATCAAATCTAAAACTTTGTGAGAATATTAAGCCGTTGGTTTTACGCTACTTTACAGCAAAATATGCTCTTCCAATCTTTCTTACTTTTTCAAGCTATCCAATGTGACTTGATATATCCCCATTCGGCAGGTTGTGTAGGTCGCCTGCCTGAACAGATTGGCCGTCAAACCAGAGTACAGTCCGAGCACACCTTCTTGTCTAACGATGGTTCTCAGAGCGTGCAAAGAAGACTTGTGGTCTCGTTGATTTCCTCCCTCGCCACTCAACTGCATACGAGTTTTCAACAAGTCTAACGGTTGCACAAACAAAGTTGCTCCCATCCTAACAAATATACATTCAAAAGTAGTTGGGATTATTGTTGGAATGAAATATAGTTACTCTTTTAAAACTGAAGGTGATACTTTTTTATAAATTTGCCATTTGTATTCTAAAAACATGGCCTATACAGAATAACGGTTCTAGGTTAATACTACAGTATAGAAATACTATCTCATGTAACTCACCCACTTAAACCTGCAATTCCAAATCGAACGTAGCTTGGCACATTCCTTTTTTCACTCATTTGATCGAATAGTTTTCTCAAAATTTCACCAAAATTACAAAATTTTAAATTTTAAACTTGTATTTAATCGTATAGAGTAAACAAACATTTTAAATACATTGTCCTAGTTTATAACTCAATCACCTGGTCAATGAGACAAACTAAAATAGGAGCTGCCGAAACATCCCCGTGATCATTAATTTACTTTTGGATACTGTTGTAGACATACCACTAGGCCAATGTAAACAATAATTAAGCCCTAATCCAGTTAATATTTTCATGTTTTTATAGTTGATGAGCAGTTCTATAGGCCAAAAGTATATTTCCCCCCTTAATTTTTGCCACACTGAGATAATTGATCTGTCTACAAGATGCCATACAGTGGTTTACAATAAGTTGTCCGTTGTCCTTAGTAATTTATATGAGCGCTTGTATCAATGGCCCCTGATAACAACGTCCATTTGAAAATTTGTTTGTTTATTTTTATCCATTTCCAAAGGATGTAGCCTCTAGGTATATTCTTTTCATGAGCTCATGTGATTTTAGCGAATTTCCCTATAGGGAAGTAGCTATTACCATAGGTCTCATGGTAAGACTTAGGCCCGGGACCGATTTACTTTTTCATTTTGGTGACCCCAGAGGCCAGGGAACAGGGTTTTATGGGGTAAAATTTGTTTTTTCTCACTGTTGACCGTCAAAACACAAAATTTCCCAATTGTTCTCTAAACCTTCTTAAAGAGCTTTTAAAAAAACAATTCAGTACACCAAAGTGTTTTTGTACGGTTATTGGTTACGGAGAAAACTAAAAAAATTGTAAATTTAAAATTACCATGTTATTCTTATGGAGAATATTGTGAAATGTTGTAGTTTGCTTGTTTATGGATATCTTTTGATCAAACTTGGCAAATATATTCAATTTATACTAAGCAATAATTATTTTACTTAAAACACACACTTTATTAGTTTCCTTGTAGCAGCAAACCTAGGTACTCGTTAAACCTAATGTTATTTAAATAGATCAATTGAAAATCAATTCAGCCAAATGGAAATTCGCTTGGTTCTACATAGTTTATTCTTTATTCATACAAGGTATAGTAAGTTATCTTGATTGCCCTTATTATTGGTATTAAATAATGCTCATTGGAAAATACTCAAAAGGGTGGCTTAAAACCCCTGAAAGGTCATTAATTAAAATTTTGCACACAACATTTAAATTTAGATTTTTAAGAAACCTCCATTAATCCATATTTTGGTAAGCTTCAGAAAAACTTAACTCCACAGGGTATCCTACTATAACGGGTATAAGTAAGGTAACTGTCAACTTGAAGAATCGGTTAGATAGTTTCAATGTCACAAAGAAAACCAACGACAAATTAAAAAACATATAATTTGAATATGACAAGGTAAGCTGTTCTGAGAGTAAAAATAGGAGTAGTGTGTGCGGAGCGCAGCGTGTGTAGAGAGGAACGAATCCCTTCCACAGGGCGGTCACACCCTCCTTCTGGACTGTTTTTGCCAAGGCGTCTCCTATGTGGTTATACATCAGATTTTCTGTTTCAGTACTCTTGTACTGCATCCTAAAAATAATAAATCATAGTTTCACCACTCGAAATCAATCAATAAGAAAAATTTATAAGAATATTGAACTATTTGCCAACTGCCTTTAATCATAACAACAATTGGAATGTTATCATGAGAGTTCGGAAGCTTTGTGTTAAAAGACCAGGGACACAGCGACTTCTTCGTTTCCGAGCTGTAACATTTCTCCTGATCCAAAACGTATGTTAAGAAAGAAAGGAGAGAAGAAACGGAACTGAGCCCAGATTGATAAGAATAACAATAATGTATTTTCAGACTGGCTGTATACACTGTAATTGCACTGGACTATTAGTCTGTGATTAAGATTAACTGCTATAATACTATCAAAGGTAAAGTTTTCCTTGCCAAACTTAACTGCAATTTCGTGGTTTTGAGACCAAATCCAATCAGGTTACATGGTGAATTAGGCTAATGTTACAGATTTGGTTTAGTAGTAGCATTTCTACTGTCGTTGGCTCCAAGAGCGGAAGCAAATGCCAGCAGTAGTTAGAGCTCAGCTGCTACCCTGAAATGGCCATCTGCAACGCCAACATTTACCCATAATATGAATTGATTTTACCCAGAACATAACGATATTATAACTTTATTTATTAAATTTGTTCCAAACTAGTCATGAATGAGTTGAAAAATAAAATCTTTACTGTCTACACTATGGCAGACAAAAACTCACCTGGTCCTTGCAACATCCAGAGGACAAACTGCGATAGTATACACAAAACCAGAGAAAAGACTGCTCACTAGTTGACACTTTATGTCGTCCTTCATGTATCCTGTGAAAATTAAACAAATTTTACACTCCACAAAATTGTCACCCAATTATGTTATAAAAATACCAAAAATAATTTGTCAAGGTTGAATTTAAATTGTTATGGATGACGCACTATTCATTTTTTACCGTTACTCTGAAGAAATTTCTTGGCCTGACTGTAGCTGACCAATTGAGCAGTATTTGCTATCATTGTTCGGAGTGTAGCTGGTATGAATCCAGAAAATACTCCATGACCACCCTCTTCTGCAGCAATCCGTCTCAAAGCATCAAATATGTTCTTGTAGTTTCGTCGCTTGGATGGGGGTAGACGTCCGTCTGCTGCCATTCGCACTAGGGCGACCTGCAAGCACTCATTTAGCTAAGACTCTATTATTTTGGCGTTTACGGGAGCAAGTACAGTAAAGTATATTGAGATTGATAGAAGTAAAAATCCCATTTAAATATTAAAGCTGCTTCGAGTTGTAAATTGGACTTATAGTTGAATTGAGCTACCGGCGTCTGAAGTCAAAACTGATTTCTGTTGAGTAAGCAAACCCTTTAACGGAGCCCAGGGCCGTCCGAAGGGGGGGGCAACCGGGGCAAGCTGCCCCGGGCGCCGCGGCTGGGGGGGCGCCTTGACTAAGGGGGCGCCGCGCAGCGGCTACTGGTATCAACGCACGGGTCCCGAAATTTCGGAAAATTTTCGGGAAAAAAATATTTTCGATTTTTGGGACGGGATTTAATTTGATTCTGGATTTTTTCGGGACGGGATTTGATCCGATCATCGGCAATTTTAACGCTTCGCGAGTGAAAATGACGCTGCTATCGCGAGATATGTTCACGGTAATTCCACGAACGCAGGAGCCGAAGTCATTTCGACGATCACACCATCACCGCAAGTCATTTGGACGATCGCACCGTGACCGCGAGTAATACCGACGATTTCACCGTGACCGCGAGTCATATATACCGACGATTCCGCCATGACCGCGAGTCATACCGACGATTCCGCTGTGACCGCGAGTCATACCGATGATAACGCCGTGACCGCGAGTCAAACCGATGATCACGCTGTGGCCGCGAGTCATACCGACGATTCCGCCGTGACCGCGAGTAATACCGACGATTTCACCGTGACCGCGAGTCATATATACCGACGATTCCGCCATGACCGCGAGTCATACCGACGATTCCGCTGTGACCGCGAGTCATACCGACGATTCCGCTGTGACCGCGAGTCATACCGATGATAACGCCGTGACCGCGAGTCAAACCGACGATTCCGCCATGACCGCGAGTCATACCGACGATTCCGCCATGACCGCGAGTCATACCGACGATTCCGCCATGACCGCGAGTCATACCGACGATTCCGCTGTGACCGCGAGTCATACCGATGATAACGCCGTGACCGCGAGTCAAACCGACGATTCCGCCATGACCGCGAGTCATACCGACGATTCCGCCATGACCGCGAGTCATACCGACGATCACGCTGTGATCGCGAGACATTTCGACCGCGAGTTTCTATGCCTGTAAATTTTTGCCATAAATGGTAAAATTGATTTTGTTTGTCTTTTTTGGTAACTGCAATACTCAAGACTTTCTTTTTATGCACAGGAAAAATCCCGTCCCGTCATGAATTAAAAATTCAATCCCGTCTATCCCTCATTGACATAGTATTAAAATATGTGAATGCGACTATTACTGGGGGGGGGGGGGCGCTACGACCACATTTGCCCCGGGCGCCGCTAACCCTAGGGACGGCCCTGACGGAGCCAATAAACTGAAGGAAAGACTTGTAAGCTAGATAATCTTTTATGGCATCAACTTTACAAAATCTAAGGGAGAAAAATACAGAATGTTAGACTGAAGCAAACTACATTCAATTTTCTTTTTACATTGATAAATATTGGCGATCTATATAAGGGTGATGCTTGCTTTACTTCGGCTTGTAAAAGTCAATATAGTGATAGACTATGGACAAAGATAGTAGCACGGTGATTCAAGAATTAATGTAGGTACTACTTTAATACCTAAGCACTACTCATTTACTAGATTCAAGAAATCTTTGCACAAACGTTTTCTTTAAAAAATATTTTTTTATGTATAGTGCTGAAGTGTGCCTGCCTTTCGGGGTGGTAACCCCGCACCGAAGATTGTTTTGTTCACGCATTGACTCGTGTGAAGCTGACTACAAAATAATATGATTGCACTTTGTATTACTTAAGTTAGAATATAGTAGTACTGTAATCATGTACATAAGCCAAAAGCCTTACATGCGTGAGAGTCTTACATCTGACGGTGTCCCTATAAAGGCTGCCAAGAAGCCACCGATGATCCCCGCTTTTATCTCACTAAGTAAGTTCTGTTGGTAGCTGGACCTAGATGGTAAATACTAAATTTAATAAATTTGAAAATGCATACATGGATGGGGCTAATCAAGTTTTTATTTGCAAAATACTAACACTGCTTTTCTATACTGTGTATACTAATCAATTTAATTTTTTAAATGCAAGCACTGAGGTATTCAATAGTTTCGATACACACTTTTATCTGCATGTAACTTTGATTGGTTTAGACATTCTATCTCTATGTTAAAACTGTAACCAGTTTTAGATTAAAATTAACTTAGGCTAGTCTATTTAAGCTATCGACAGAGTGAACTATGTAAATTCAAACAGACAATAACCAAAATATCATCGTTATCGTGTCGTATTCATGTTGAATACGGCAACATATTAACCCAGCCAAACTGAAAGGCCTTTTTTTGTGAGATTTAACATATTTTATGTCACCTCAATTATCACAGTAACCAGTACTAACGGGGATTAGAGAATATATATTTTTAGACTGTATCACACTCTTAGAGCGGCTCATTAAACTATGAGTAAAAAATGTAGCTGGTCCATACGGATGGGAAGTCTACTTAACTAGTTGGTTGCCCACGATCTAAATTAATTCCTACTATAAAGTTATTGTAAGGTGCGTGTATAGCGTGTAGACTTCGAACTTACTGTTTCATATGATCTACCATTACTTGATATATCCCTATGCGGCAAGATGTGCAAGTCGCCTGTCGGAACAGATTGGCCGTCAACCCAGAGTACAGTCCGAGCACACCTTCTTGTCTAACGATAGTTCTCAGAGCGTGTAAAGATGTTTTGTACACTCGTTCATTCCCTCCCTCACCACTCAACTGCATTCGAGTTTTTAACAAATCTAACGGCTGCACAATACAGGTGGCTCCCATCCTGATAGAAAAATTGTTATTGTTAAAACATTACGATAATATTGCTACGATAGGCACGTTTAAGTTGAGAGTTAGTGATTTATAATTTACACAACACTACGTACAAATAAATTATAGCCAAATGATCATTTATGGGATACTTACCCGCTTAAACCAGCTATGCCGAATCGAACATAACCTGGCACTTCAGCATTTGCTGTGTCGTTCATTTGATTGTCATTTTTCCTTAGAGAATTGCCAATCGACTTTAAGTCGTCCCAAATTTAGATTTGTGTAAATAAATAATAATCACAAACAATAACTATCCAAACAAACAATGTGTTTACCTTAGGCTTTATCATCTGATTAAATATGATTTGTCCTTAGTCTACGCGTGGTAACTTAAGTTAAACACAGTTTGGTAACATTTAATTAATATCTAAAACAGTATGCTTATCCGTATCCTATCATATTTTTTAGATATAGATTAAACAGTACGATGACAATAAAAAAATATTTAATATTTGGAATCATATATTAATATATATTAATTAATTAATATATATCATATATATTTAATATTAATGTTTAATCATGGACTAAACATACCCTTTGGTGTTGGTCAATGGCTTAATAATCGTTAGTTTGCATTTACACGTTGTTATTTTTGTAACCATCATGACAACAAGGAGGCTAAAAGTTAAAATAAAAAAAAAACTATGAGTGAGTTACTTTTAAATTAAGGCATTATCAAAAATTGAAATTTTTGCGTCTCAAACATTTGTCGAAACAACCGTACGTTTGGCTAAGATTTGTTCTGCCGTTATTGAGCGATAGCATAGACTAATCAACGGAGAATGTTTTATCCATGGTGATAGTGTTAGAAAGTTTGCATTGAAGCCGATCCCAAAGAGCTTCCCTTCGCTCCGCTCAATTAAAGTAATTTGTAATTTGGGTTTTCTTTGTTTATTTTCTTTTTACAATTTGCATTTGAGAAGCATACTATAGTACTTTTCTAGAGACCTTGTATTTAATCACAACGGGCTCTGCTAGTTGTTTTATAAACAACAAAACCTGATTAATGCAGTAAAGTTATTAACTGGGATGGATATCATTTCATTGGCACATATTAACTTCGACATCTCATAAGATTTTAAACTCGAATATTTTGACGAGATTTACATTCCAAAACTACAAAAGTGTTCAGCCAACGTTTCATAGCGTCATAGATAAAACAATGATAGCGTCAACGAGAATTCGATTGGGAAACTGTATTAGGAAACGTAATTTTATGGTGCCATTTGGAACAGACGTGCGTGGTAGCGGCGCATGTCTGACGTGCGAATCAGTGTTGCCGTTTTGCGCGTAATTACCCTTTTTGCGTGGATTTTGGAGGGCTGCACAGATTTTTGTGCGGATTAGGCATGTGAGCGGATTTTACCCAATTGTAGTATTTTAAAATATATGGGAATTTCAACGGCAAATCGGGACACTTTGTACTTTTTGACTCAAGAGGAGCACTTTATGAGTATATTAACTAAGGATAATATTATTATAGTGCATTCAAGAATGATCGATGATGTTTTTTGTGTACATTTATCGTTCTCTTCATTCCCTTTACTTCTACGTCCACGTCTCTAGGTTGTTACTTCTAGAGAATCGTTTTCTAGGGATATTTTACTACCCGCTCTAGTGATTTTCCTCTAGACGTTGGTTTGTGGCAACACTGCTAACCTAACCAAACAGGCAAACAAAACATAGTACCAACCAACAGAAACAAAACAAACTAACCAACAGTAATGTATTAGGTTAGTTTTGAAAAGAATAATTATTGACATACAATAATGCACTTTCATTCTCAAAGGTAACGCCGCCCATAAGGCTAAGGCTGGTTTGAAAAAAAGTAATATTTTTTATTTGTGGTTTTGTGTACATTGTTTTCCAATTTCGTTTGTTTGTATAGTTCACAAATAAGAGAAAACCAACAACTCCTGTTTTAATTTATTGACACCTCTAACCCCAAATTTTAGGAAATATAATATTGCATTTTATTGATTTCTAAAACTTTTAACTGCTATTATAGGTTAAGTTTTTTTCAGAACAATAAGTTTAGTTTAATTGAATATGTAATTTTTTTATTTTCTTATTAATGCAATAGCATTGTACTTTTTTCACTGAATATTTTTTTTTTGTATCTGTTCAATCAATATTGAAATCACACATACGGTAAGTGTAAACATCCTCTAACATATTTTGAGTGTTACATTTCTTTATAGGTGAACAAAATAATTTTTTTTTTTAATCAGAATTTATTTTACAATCTGTCCAAACTTCAAATATGAGAACAATAAGTAAAACATATATCAAACAATGTCAGGAAGCAAGCACCTGTTCATCAACAAGTCTTGCCAAAAATTTGATCAGTCATTTAAACATTCACAGAAATCTGTAGCTTAGGTCCAGCACATGCACAACACTTTTTAACCTGGTAATGCACTGACTATTGTCCAGCAGATTAACAGCAAGACTGTTCGGATGATATTCTAATTTTTCTTGATAATTTTTGCTAAGGTCTGTAATTTCTTCTTTCACTGATTTAATTTTGAAGTCATTCCTAATTGTAGTGTTAGATACGAACCAGGGTGCGCCAATAATTCTTCTCAGTGCCTTAGCCTGAAATCGTTCAAGAATTTCGATGTTGGATTTGCTCGAGGTCCCCCAAAGTTGAATTCCGTATGTCCAAATTGGTTTGATCATAACTTTATACAGTAAAATTTTGTTAGCCAATGATAATTTTGAATTCGTACCTAGTAGCCAATTGAGTTTACAAAGTTTTAATTCCATTTGCTGCCTCTTGCACCAGATATGAGATTTCCAACTTAATTTTTTGTCAAGAGTTGGACCTAAATGTTTTACACTGTCTGCCTCCGTTAAGGCTACATTATTAATGGTTACAGGAGGATTGTACCCTGTTCTCAGAGTAAAAACAATATGTTTGGACTTGTTTTCGTTGACTTTTATCCTCCACTTTTTAAGCCAATAATGGAGTTCAGTCAAGGCAGCTTGTAGATTTATGTAAGCGACTTGAGGGTCCACATGACTCGACAACAGTGCGGTGTCATCAGCAAACGTAGCAACTGTGACGTTGGGGACCATAGGGATGTCTGCTGTATATATCAAATATAGCAAGGGACCAAGAACACTCCCCTGAGGTACTCCAGACTTTATCGGCTTCAGATCAGATAACGAATTTTCGAATTTTATTTGAAAAGATCGATTGGTCAGATATGATTTTAGAAGGTTGTACAAAGAGTGAGGGAGAGACGTTTTGAGTTTAAACAGAAGTCCGACATGCCACACCTTGTCAAACGCCTGTTGGACATCCAAAAATGCAGCAGAACAGTACTGTTTTTTCTCAAATGTGTTTTTTATAATATCCACTAATCGGTGGGTTTGTTGAATGGTAGAATTTTGTTTGCGGAAGCCGAACTGATGATCTGGTATTAAGTTTAATTCATCAACAGTGGGGGTTAACCTTTTAAGTATTACCTTTTCAAACAACTTTGATACTATAGGAAGCAAGCTTATGGGTCTGTAAGAAGATGCGTCATTAGGTGGTTTGCCTGGTTTTGGGATAACAACTATTTGTGCAATTTTCAGTTGAACAGAAAAATATTCCAATCGTAACATAGCATTAAATATAAATGTCAACAACATAATGGCTTTACGAGGTAGTTCTCTTAAAATTTTTCCAGTGATGAGATCGTACCCAGGACTTTTCACGGGGTTAATTTCCTTAAAAATTATTCTTGAAACCTCGGAAGGAGTGCAAGATTTTATAGGCAGTGACAACTGATTTGGTGCATCCAAAAATTCGTAAATTTCACTTTCGTCATTGGGGGGATTCGGAGTAATAGGCTTAAATACATCAGAAAAGTAATCTTCAAAAACCTTCGCTTTTTCTTCAGGGGTTTTAGCCCAGGACCCGTCAGAATTCCGAATTGGAGGTACATGTTGAACTGGACGTTTAATATATTTAGTAGACTTCCAAAGAGAATACTCGGTTGCTTCAGTTGGGGTTAGACAAAATAATGGAAAACTTGTTTTCTAGCACTATATTATTGGACTCATGTTAATTTACAGACAGAGTCCGCGGATTGTGCACGTATTTTTAACGTATTGTGCGCGGATTAGAGAGGAAAATGCGGGATTTTTTGATTTTTATGCGGGGACAGCTCACTTACTCTACAGATCATAGACTATACGAGCTTTTTAAATAATATTGAAGGTTCACTTGCACTACAGGCTCGTATACTATACGAGCCTATCGAAAATGAAAAGTAAATGAAGAGGGTTCACTTACTCTACAAATCATTGTGCCTATGAGCCTCGTGTATTATATTTAAAAATACAGTAGGAAGGTTCGCTTACTCTACAGATCATAGTGACTATGAGCCAAGCTTACGAATTATTTGATAATTCAGGAATCGGCTCGTATAGTATACGAGCCAAAATAATGAATAATATAAATTATAGGAATAGGCTCGTATACTATACGAGCCTGCAGAAAAATATTAGATGGCTCACTTACACTACAGATCATTGACACAATGATCCGTAGAGTAAGTGAACCCTCTTCAAAATATTAGATGGCTCACTTACTCTACGGCTCATTTAGCTACTCGTTGCGCGGTTTGCGTTCGTAAAACTCTAGGCGCTATGCCCGGCTTCGACTGCTGCGACTGCCTACATAAGTGTATTGCATCACCTCAATTATTTATTAAAACGAAATAAATATGTATGCACAAGTAAATTTGTTACATTTTTGGACTGAATACTTTAAAAATGGAGGGAGCATGACTTTTATGTTTAATTAAATTAAAAGTTATAGAATAAAACATATTTTGACTATGTGATTTGATCAATGATCATGTTATATAATACACACTTGTATGATCCAGATACAGAGCTACAGACAAAACCTGTGGTCCGATTTAGATTAAATTTTGTATCTGGATTCATCCACGAGTCACTAATTTTTTAAGCACGGGTTGAGAAATAATGGCAAAAATTTATAAAAACAGTTCACCAGTTTAGAATATTTCTCAGTTACTGTGAGTTGCAAAAAAAGTGTATACAGAAGCATTTGTGTTCACAGAAAATATAGAGGACTAGATGTATACAGAAGCATTTGTGTACACAGAAAATATAGAGGACTAGATGTATACAGAAGATATATTAAAATACAATACGCACACAACTATCAACGTTTACATATGTAAAATTAATGAATTTGTT